AATTAGGAATCGACAGATAAATTAGTTTTTTATGAGAAACTGTTGAAAGGTAAACGTGAATTATATATTTATATCGGTAAAAATTTTTAATTCTGTTACTATTACATTTTTTATTAAATTTAGGAGAATTGATATAATATTTAGTAATATTTATATTCCAAAATTATTGTTTTAAAAATTTCACATAGTTAGAGAATTAGAATTAAAAAAGACTTTATTATTATATTATTAATTTTTTTTTAATTCTAATAATTAGCATGATTTATTAATAAAATATCTTTTTGCATAAAGTTATATAAATATATTTTTATGTTACATATTAATTATTTTTATAGTTTTTGCCATTTTACTGGATAAAGTTCGGGACCGTAAAAAACGGAATTTTTACCATGGTTTCTTCTACTCACTTTTCCGTCCAATCCAGTATACGTGTATTAAATATCTTTGCATTTTATGGTTGTGACAGAAAATGTCACGAAAGGTCACAGAAAAGTTTTATAACCAGCGTCCTTGCGTTATCGGCTGGCGTTCAAGTGTTGAGTCTATCTCAGCTAATCGCTCCGTTCTAGCGAGAACCTTTCACTCGTTTCGTGAATCACTATCGAAGCGCGCCGCTAATTAAGTATCGTTTCTATCCCGCGTGAGAGAAAAGCAGTGACGTAAATCGGCGAGTACCGATGATCACGTAGTATCATCCATCAAGAATACCATCTGCCGGGAAAGTACAGCGTGTGATGTAGCAAACGCGTGATTTCGCTAATATTTCACCATCGTTGCGACGATGCAGAGTACAAAAAAAAAAAAACCAACTTCTCTTTATCAAGAATTTTATCAAAATCTTTATCCGTAACGCGTGCTCTTCGATCAAAAATAATTAATCCGAGCATCGAGTTAAAATACACGTGGAATTAATCAAAAGGTAAGAGCTGAACATGTTGCACGGAAGTTGCGTACAATTAATTGGCCGTCAAAGTATAATACATCTTTGTTATTTCTACGGACGATTTAATCTGGATGAACCTGATGAGCGATCGATATTCGAGCATATCTGACTCTCAAGGTACGATATATAATTAGACAATTCTTATTCGAACGCGTATCAAATCTCTCCGGAACGTACAAAAGCAAGCGGAATGGAGCACAAAGAGATGTGTCGAGTATAAAATTCTTAACGACGTCATTCAGTCTGTGCATTAACACAAATGGACCATTTCCACAATATCGCGGAGAGAGAAGCGCGCGCAATAATAATCTCTCTCGGATATCTCCCCACGCTTTCCAAACTCCAAACGTGAGAACACGGTCCCCAGGAGGCATCGTTATTGCAATCCTCCCCCCCCCCTTTTTGTACGAGCATCCTGGGCATCCGCATGTTCCGTGACGGATCGCTCTCGACGCGCGTTACAAAACGGCGCGGCCTTGAGGCTTGAGTTTCTTCGAGAGACCGATCGGTGCCCCGATGCAGGTCTCCGACGAGGGGTTTATACGAGCCTCGCGAGACGGATAACGGACGGACAGGTGCGCCGCATTCCGTTAAACGGCACTCCGGCTGCACCGACGACAACGACGCCGACGAAGACGGAGTGCGCGTCCACTTTTGTCTCGCTACGAGAGAGCCTCTCGTTCCGTTTTTCGTGCGAAACGAGGATCGAGAAAGTAGAGGGGGACGCGAATACGTGCGGGAATGTCGCGATCGAATTTGTGATACATTCGTATGCCCGGAGAGCGCCTCCGATTTTACGCGATTGAACGAACAATGGACGAAAAGCCGAAATCCCGCTTTCACTCGAGAATCGAGAAGCATTCAATTAATAGAGGGTGTGCTTTAACTTAGGTACTTTTCTTGAAGAATTCTTTACGAACTTTAAAGCCGAGAAGATTAAGTTTAGAATTCTCTCTCTGGGAAGTTCTTAAAAAGAAAAAAAAAAAAAAAAAGAGGAAAAAAGAGTCCAACCGCTATTATATCAAACTCTTCAATCGTAGACTGGAAGTGGGAATGAAAGGGAATTATTAGTGCCGGGAATAAGTACAATGGCGTTCATTTGCATATTACGAAGAAAGCACGAGCGGCACGAAAGGTACAGGCAGATATGAAGAATTTTCACGTCACTTACGTCATTGTATATTTTTCGTTCACAATTAGCATTATTCAAATTCACTGATGTATGAAAAGGATTATTGTCCAACTCGATTCACATTGAATCAATCTTAATTTTCACGACACCGCGAGAAACGTAATCGGACCTATTTAAAAAAAAAAATGTGGAATGTAAAAAAAATGCTTTGTAAATCGATTGAGTGATCTATATTTAAAAAATAAAAATTGTAAAGATACTAGAAAAAATAATTTCCACGTCGCTGATTGCGAGACTCGTAAACAAAACGAACGCCGCTTTTATATCTCGTCAATTTTTTTTTAATGAACGATTCGCTTAAGTAAGTCACGTCTTCTGTTTTGCTCAACTTAATTTTTAGCTCATGATGCAGCATGGGATGAAGACCCTAGCTGAGTTGACCTAGTTTTGATAGATCGATCTTGACTCGACGTATCTCGCGAATATATATTTAAACTATTAATCTCAATATTAAGCTCTGATTTTCTTCATATCATTTATGAATCATCATCGCAGAAGCATACTGTCTACGGGTATATAAATAGCAGAGTGAAATTGGGAAATAGGAATAAAATTTCATGCTTGACATGGATAGAAGAAGAGAACTATTATTTGCAAAACTTCTATGCACTTAGAAGGAGACAAAAGGATCAGAAGATAGATTGAGGTTGAACTTAATCTACGGAACTGTTGAGTCTCATGGCTCTAAGTGGTATAAGTTAGTAAGGTAGTTCTAAGCAGTAGCCCGAAGGCTCTCTGCTTAGATCAAACGTGTTACATGAATGAAACGTGGAACCGGACGACGACGTTTAGAGAACGAATGTAGAGCAGAAATAAAGTAACGTATAGTGTCTCTCTCCTCAGACATGTATGCGTAAACAACAACAGTGTACACACATACGTCATATGTCTGTTTTCTCACCATATGTCATAGATAATTCTTAAGATATGAGTTAATGATATTTATAGGCCGTGTAAACGCTTAAATATTAGATAAGGAAAATAACTTTTAGATATAGATACATTGATACTAATTAATTATGTTCGTGAATTTGTAAGATTTGAAAATAATGCAAGCATTTTTTCTTTCTTTTCCAGATCTCTGCGAAAAGATCTGGATCTTAATTTTTCCGGAATATATAATTTATCCAGTATTGGAATTTCTCATGGAATAAAATACGTAATTTTCTTGCTTTCTACTATACACTAAAAATTATAAAAACTTCATTTTCTTTAAAATATATAAAGAGATAGAAAAAAAAGATAATAGTAAGATAAGATCAGATAAGATAAAATAAACAAATTTTCGACGTATTTTTGTCTATTATGATTACCAGTGCTGGAAATTTGTATGGTCTATGTGTGTGTGTATATATGTATATTACATTTTTTAAATTAAATTTTTTAAATTTTTAGAATCACGCGTGGATTGACTTTACAGTTAATTAACAAAGGGTTTTTTTTTCTCCTTCTTCTCTGTTCTTTTTAGCGTATTTTTCACAAAGTTCCTAGTCGGGAAAAGTCGGCGCAAAGAAAACGCGGTGCGCGGTATTTATGTATATATATACCTATGTATATTAAATCTCGAGAATTGCATTTTTAATCTTTGAAGTCCGGGGCTGCGCGAACTTCAACCACATTTTCCCCGTCTATCTCACTCTGTCCTTTTGCCAGCAGTATTTTTCGCAGGGCGTGCCACGAGTAGCGGTGAAAAAAGATCGAGCGCGAAATTTACGTACGTGTAAGCGTATATATTACGTCCTTTCGGGAAGGAAAAAAATTTTTTAAAGAGATCTTGAATTCTTTTTTAAAACCCTCGCATTATCTCTCCCTCTCGACACGATCGGCCTCGAGGCGGCGCGAGATGAACAACTCGCTCGTGCGTAATATCCGTGAAGCTTAACACACGCTCGCACACGCGGCACTTACATACGTGCATACTTGACGGGACCGTTAAGCCACGAGGCCGCATGCTTCTGGCCACGACCGCCTCGTGCCTGCTCGTTCGCCCGTATCTCTCCTCGGCAAGGTATCACTTTGGAAGAGAGCGAAGGATCGTCGGGGTCCCTTGGACCGGGGAATGTTTCCTCGGTCGCGATTAATACATACGCACCGAGGGAAAATTATCGCGTTTGCGATCCGCTAACGATCTAGCGGCAAATCCGCACGCACACGGATACGTGCTCGCGCGAGCGAAGCGAGGGCGACCGAGGCGGGGGGGGGGGGGGGGGGGGAGCGATACGGTAAGACGGAAGAGAGGCCCCCCTTCGCGTTTCGACGCGCTAAACGTGGCACGGCGCGCTTTTTCCACGAACTTTTCTCACAGAGATAATATACGTAAGAACGATGACCACTCACGTTTCGTGTTGGATACTTGGTACTATCTTGATAAGGAACCGCTAAGTCGCGCGCCGACGAGGATTCCTCGACGAGGCTCGAGGATACTCGCGCTCTTCCTTTTAGAAATGAACTGTCCCGACGGTGGGCTTCAGGGATCTACGTATCACCACTTCCAACACAGCTGTGTACGTTAATTACGCCGGCGCGATAAGAGGACGGATTCCTGGTAAATGACACTGCACGCGCGCGGGGATTGTTCGCGAGAATCGCGACGCGCGCTCGACAGGAGAGGACCGATCGTTACACGCGCCTCTTCGGATGTTCGCCAGCACGGTTCTCCTCCCGGCCGACGAGATCCGAGAAGGGCGATCGGTGCGAGAATAGAACGGCGTTGGGATCCCGCGATAAAATGTGTGTACAATGTTGCACGTCGTAGGGGGAGAGAGAAAGAGAAAGAGAGAGAGAGAGAGAGAGAGACGACGCGCTCTCCCCTCGTCGAGCGAGTAGCGGATTCGGAGACGGTCGATTCGTCCCGTCGATACGCACCTTCCTTGCCTCGGCGGCGATTTACCCGACTTAACGGCGCGATGCAGGAGATAGCTCGCGGGCGTACATCGTCGTCCGTCGTCGCACTCTAAACTCGTAGGATACGCCTGACATCGCGCGACGCGGCGCGGAGCGAAACGAGCGCGATGAACGGCACCGAGGTTAGGGCGGTTCGCCGAGTGACAGAACGACACCTGTTCGACGTTCGCGGCAACTCGACGAGCGATGTATCGATAGTCGGGCAACGCGCGATCGCTACTCGAGATTTTTTGTTTTTCTTCCTATACGTTCTGCTTCTCATTCAATATTTAGCGACTTATTATCTCCCTCAAATTCGAGTTCGACAACTTGTATATGTTTATTTTAGATAAAATATGAATTAAAGATAGAATAGAGTTTTTTGTCAAGTACACATAAAATATATTACTCTACGGGATATCCCACATATATTTTAGGTAAGGATGAATTTTCTTTTTTATGGCAACAAAGCGTGCTTTCTGAAAGTGTTTCATGTCAACTCGAATAAAATTTCTTTAAATGTTTTATCACAGTAATATCATTTTATACTTTATTTATATAAGAGACTGTATATATAATATTTTTCGCAATGTTTTAATTTTTTTTTCCAATCCTTGCAGCGATCTGAAATTTTATTCGAATTCATTCACTCGATTTATATTCATTAATCATTAATTATTCATTAATTCATATCAAATTGATTGTAGAATAACGTTTTTACACGATATACACATTTATTCTCACCAGCAAGAGCGGATTTTAAGACGCGTGAAAAAAGCATCGTCTCGGCGTATAATTGAGGAAACGACCATTATTTATATGCGTGTCGGCTTTTTTTTTCCAGCTTCGAAAAACCGTGCGCGTCCGCGCTCGCGCGGATCGCTCGCCAGATGGCGGCGCCAATCGGCCGCTATATTGATCAAGTTGGGATTTTGCGAGGAGACGCGCGCGTTGATAAGATCTCGCGTATATTTTTCGATCGCGCACGCAATACCTATCTATCTACCTCCGCGCGACGTGTGTGCGTGACATTTGTCGCGCGCGGCAAGTGAGCTCGGCTCGCGCGTGACGTGTGAATTTCGTTCGCCGCGGAGCCCCCCGCGTTAGCGGCAGCGTCGTCGTAGCCGTAGTCGCGTAAGCCCTCCCTCGCCCATGACGTCACTCGCGAATTACACAAGCGTCATCGCTCAGTCTGTTGTGGAAAATTTTGTCGCGGGATCCATGGTGGCGAAGTGCGTTGCTCCTTGAACGGACGACCGGCGAGTCTCTCTCGAGTGTCGATTACGCGGCGACGAAACTCTACGCGATCAAAGTGAGCGCACATCGCCGATTCTCCTCTGTCTTTCTTCCTCTATCTCTCTCTCTCTCTCTCTCTCTCTCTATCTCTCTCTCTATCTCTCTCTTTTTTTCCTCCCAACACATCATCGTCACAATTATCAACATCACTGTTGATTCGTCTCGAATCATCGTGAGCTAGACCCGCGCGAAGGGACTAATAAAAGATTTTTTTGACCACGTTGGTTTAATACCGTGTGTCTCGAATGTTGGACGACGTCGACGGCGTCGTCGAAGCTTGCGATACATATACGTACATACCCCTCGACGGTGCGACATGTCGTCTTGTGTGACATTTCGCACCTGTCTGCGTCGCTTTCGCAACAGAGGAAATGGATAGGTCATATATTTACGGGACATTTATTTTTATATCGGCTGTTTGTTAGTTTAGATTTTTTCCTATCCGTATTTGTGTTCTTTAAAAGACAAAAATTGTTGCTTGGATAATCGTGTGAAATCTTTCCTTCTTCGCGTAATAAACTTTAATTTGCGATTTTTTATTCTACATTGAGATTTTAAGTTCATTTTATTTAAGGAGATTAATATATTTATGACACGAGATAACATATGTTAAGTGAAATTTAGAGAGAATTTTCCTACGTAAAACATGAATGTATTTATGATAGTTATTTTATCATCACTGTTTGCGATATTTATAAATGTTAAACGTTTTACTGGAGAGTTTAAATTATAAAGCTATAATGTTAACTATGGTTTTCTTTCATGTTACAGAGTTGAAGTTTACGAAAGAGATTCTTATTACATTCTCATGATGTCTATGCAACAGTACTGTTTGCGGTGGAACAATCATCAGCCGAACTTCATCTCAGTTTTCTCCAACTTACTAAATAATGAGACTCTAGTGGATGTTACTCTTGCTGCAGAAGGCAGGCAAATTCAGGCTCACAAAGTTGTACTGTCAGCATGCAGTACATATTTTCAGTCGCTCTTTACGGTGAATCCTTGTCAGCACCCTATCGTTATACTTAAGGACATCAAGTTTTCGGACCTCAAGATTATGGTAGACTTTATGTACTATGGAGAAGTAAACATATCTCAAGATCAATTACCGTCTATCATAAAGGTAAAGAAAAATATTTTAATTATCAGACATTTGTTTATATTATACTTTATGAAAAACACTTGATAAACAACACACTATTTATTTAACAGACGGCAGAAAGCTTAAAGATAAAAGGACTTGCAGAAATGCATACAGCGTCATTAACTAAATGGCCAAGTGGAAGTAGCGAAACAGGTGGAGGGGATCGTGGCGAATCCTGCTCACCCAGTCCATCTCCATTGTCTCCTTCTTTTCGTAGAAAAAGGTTACGAAAGTCTTCTACTGGCTCAACCTCTGGTTCTGGCGACAGGCCGGAAGAAATCAATGAAATAACACTAGTGGCTACTAACATTGTAAAACCTGAACCCCTAATTGCATCACAAGAAAGTGGAGAGAATATAAGGCGACCAGTAAATACCAGCACAGAATCCCAAGGCAGTATCGATGAAGATCAAATATCAATTGTAAGTAAATATGATATGTTCAATATTTAACTAAATAATATGAAATATACATTTAATTTTATGTTACAAAGTTCTTGTGATCCTTAAACAAATAAATTATGAATTTGAGATAATATGTGACATTTCTGCATTTTAGATGAGTAATATGGAAACTAGTTCTACCAATACACCAGCCCAAAGTGATGGTTCTATTCAAGATGTAAGTCAACAGTCGACAGGAGGAAACATTGCACAAAGTTCTGTCTCTTCACAACCACCCTCTCATCAAGGTAAGATACTGTGCCCTATTTTAAGTAGAAATCTTTACAAATATCTAAACACTTAAATACCTATCGTAATAAAATATAAATCATATACTATATGCACACAAAAAAATAAATAAGAGAGATACATATATTAAAAATTAATGTATAAAAAGCCCGGAAAAACGCAAATATTTTTACTACTTTTCTTTTTTATGCTGCATGCATAATTTTGACCATAGTTGTGAATTGAAATCGTTCAATTCTCTTACATATAGATAGATATTATTTAGATATGTTTCTCTTTTTAATATATATATATTACATTTTATATTTTCTTATTTTTGTATAAAGTTATAATTTGCTTATATTTAGAATGTGCTGTTTATTTTATTAATGATATAAAAATGTGTGATTTTAGAAAAATATATTTTTTTTTTTAAATATATAAAAATATAATATAAAAACGAGAGTATATACAAGAGAACTAATATGATAGAAAAACTATCATTTTTGTATAATTTAATATTTAATGATATATATGTGTATGATATTAATATATTTTTGAAATTGATGAAAATGAAAAAACAGTTTTAGTATTCTTACTATCTTTTTTTCAGAAATACATAATAATTTTTAAATTCTATATTTTAATTTTTCCTTAATTTGAATTAAAAAGAAAAACTATATGGAAATATGTATATTGTCTCGAACTTGATTATTTGACAAATATTTTGGTTTTCGTATTGTTGTAAGATAAGTCAGATAAATTAACAGATTGATTGATATAATGTTTGTAATCTAGAAGACTGTATGTATATACATAGAAGTGTAATGGTATGAAAGTTTGAAGACAATTTTTAATTTGATGGAACATGTTACGCGCAAGCAGTTAACTATAGATTTAATAATATGGTTTTCCTTATTAGATTGTGTGCATTGTAAATCTATGCATAACGATCCGACTACTTCGACAAATTGCATGATACCTTCCCTTTCGGCAAATATCTCCGATAATTGTTATTTGAATTATGCATATATACTGACTGTGGTGGGTATTTAAATTGCATGTCGATAAGCGAAGTTTACACACATTATATTATGCTGGCACAGATGCGTTTAAATGTATTGCACAAGGAATCAACAGACGTTTGACATGAAAATAGAGCGAAATTTCAGGAATTGAAACTTTATAATAATAATGCGAATGTATAAAAAGAAAAAGATTGTTCCTCTTTCTCATTCATGAAAGAAGATCATCATGGTACACAGATACATAGCACACAATATGTTATATTTCCAGAGAAGGACAATATATCGGGCCTTTAACATTAATAGAGTGTGTATGTGTGCCACTATACTCTGCCTTATAAATATAATAAATTCCGTACATGTATTTGAGTATTTCAAACAATGATGTGCTTCAAAATGTATCTGTGCCATGCCGCAACTCCATATTTAATACGCTCATTTATACCGTTTCTTCACAAGATTTTATTTTTAATATCTATCATCTTTTGCTTAATTAGAGCTTAGTATCGTTTTTCTATATATCATAGAATAAATTATTTTTTTTATTAGATTATAATTATATGTATGCCTTGTTTTATATGAACAGATATGCTGATATATTATACATTATTCTTCTCTCATAGTTTAAATTATGTTACCAATGGCATAATATAATCATGTAAAAATTGCATCTTTAATTGGTTTTTACGTAATATACAGGTGAAATAAATTTTTTTGTGTGGGAATATACATAAAAATTATTCACAGTGGAGCAAAATCGAGTGAAAAATAGTTTTGAAACCCTCACGTCAAAGCAAATCCAAGTATAGATCGGAATCGGATTTTCTCGCTCACTGTTTACAAACGTAATAGTTTGTAATATTGTGTGATCATATTATTCTCACTCTTTATCATTTATCTTAATCGTAAACACGCAAAGTATCAACGGATTGATAATTCCTGTGCTCTGACCAAAGATCAATCGGTCTGTTCCACAGGATTACAATGGACTATTATGGAGCACACATATCATCCGACACGTTTCGCTCTGTCCTCGTGTCAAACGAATCTGTCGATCCAAGCGTCATCGGCGTTCACGACGCCCGAAATAACAGCATCCTCGACCATCAGCGATCAGTACTCTGGTACCAGCACGACTGGTTCCAGTTGCGCCCTGACGAACTATCCAAACTCCTCCCACGGGACATTGCAGCATGCGTCGTCATCGTCGGGCGGCCCCTCGCCATCGGCGCAGTGTCTGAGTAACTGCCAGAGTCCGTGCGCCAGCCCGCAGACTGCGATTAAGAGGAAACGATCGACTAATCCGCAAGCGGATGAGAACTTTATACGCGCGCTCGACGCCGTACGTTATGGCGGCATAGGGTTTTGCAAGGCGGCGAGGATGTACGGCGTGAACAACCGAACACTCTGGCTCGAGTACAAGAAGCGCGGTTACCCGAACAATCGGCCCAGTCTCAAGTCTCGCGTTAAGCAAGAAGTTAACTCCTCGCCGCCGCCACCGCCGCAGTCGCAAGCGCCTCCGGCGCAACCCATGAACTCATCGCAAAGCCCGACTCCCATGGGCCCGCCCACGACTCCGCACAGCACGCACAACACACATAGCACGCACACTATGCTGACCAGCCACAGTCCCCACACGATGCTGAGCGGTTACATTGATAGGCATACGGACTATGGTGCGCTACCGAGCACCACGATGCCGATCAATCTGCACGGCGTCAACTACAACGCCATGTGAAACGAATCCTACCCGGAAAGTCACTTGTATAGACGACCTTGAGAAGTATTACCTTCCTCGCTCCCTTGCTCCCCTTTTCTCCTTTTTACCCGCTCCTTGTAAACAATTGAACACATCTGTCAAGATTCTTGTGTTAGTGAAAGTTTCGCGAGGTGTTGAAAAGTCACCGAAATAAGAAAGGCCGAATGCTTTTTAATATTCAAAACACATTTTTTTTTGTCTACATACTCATAAATTTTTGAGTATTCGGATCTCACAAAGTCGATATATACATATAAGTCGGTATATATTTTATACTGTATAGGGCCGCTCATCACAGATGTGCCCCGCACTTTTTCCTAGCTATAAACAATTTCAAATATTTTAATTTTGTTTCTTTCCTTACCGAAAATTTCATGAATTATTACTAGTCCCGTGATTTTTTTTATCTCAACATTAAATGAATCGAAAACTTTCTAACTTTTAAATAATTTTGTATTTCTTTCTCTATATTTTTTGTTTCTTTTCCTCAATCAAATCTTTATTAAAGAAGAATCTGATTCAAGTTCTTCGAATTGTCTGTAATGTAAGAGGAAACTGCGCGACCTTTGATATATCCAGTAAATCGATATTGTTTATATAATATTAAATTATTTAAATTAAATTTCTCTTTTTTTTGTAAGATACATATTTTTCCTTAATTATATACATTTTTATTCTTATATTTTTCTTAATCTTTTCCTATCGATACGCGATTTATAATCCGAACTAAAATGTCTGCAATGTGATAAATGAACGGATTTACAGGCGACGAACACATTCGCACTTGTCAGCCATTTCTCATATTTACGGCAGATTATCAACAATTTCTATTTTTCTGTTCGTTATACTAAAAATTTCAGTATCGTCTGGAATTGGGGGCAATCGTTCAGTGTCCCGAATAAAATGTTGCTGGAACTAATAATGAAACTATTTGATTGTACAAGATTGTACAAAGCATATGATTAGAAATTGCATTATCTGTATTTGCACACGTGTGTTAGTACATTGTACGAGATTAACATTATGCACACACAGAGATAATTTATCAATACATGTATTACAATTAATTGTTACTATGTTGACAAATATATGAGAGAGAATCGTCATATATACTCTCTTTTTAGAGATACGTTTTCCTCTTACATACATATGGACTTTTGTTTAATTTTTTATACTTTTATGATATATATATATATAAGTGAAATTAAGATATATATTTGTTACATATTATATGTATTATTTTGCTACATTATATTTCGTTGTATTTTTACTTTTTTTCAAATATCTCCACATATATTTTTACCCAATTTGCTTTTGTTCATAAAATCATGTTAATGAAAACATACGTTGAATAATGTAAGCAAACACAATTATTTGATATATTAAATATTCTATATATTATCCAAACTTTGTGAAAATAGTTTCTATTGTTTTGAAATGTAAATTTAATGTGAAATAATGTAAAATTCAACTTTAGAAAGCGTAATAGAATTGATTAATATATGTACATTTACATTATTTCACTATGACATTTGTATTTCTGTTATGTTTAATTATAATAATGATTTATATTAGTCTAGTTCTCTAGTGAAATATTATATGTGATAGATATATGAGAGAGAACATTTTTTAACATTAATTGTATAAAATAAAATTAGGACATAAAAAAGTGGAATATATATATATATATATGAACTATATGCACACAGACTAATATTTCTAATTTTATTTGCGGAAATTATTTTTTATTTTATTTATTTATACTATTTGTTGTGTATATTTGATAACTAAATTAATCGCGGAACAGTGAAGAGTAATGCATGTATTGAATACAAAAAGAATGCGAACGCTTAAAATAATCGAAAAATATTTTGATTGTACTTTTCACTTTTGCGTTTCTGTAAACTCAAGACTTTTCGTTACAACGGAATGAAGATAGAGCAGCTTTCTACGAGACGATCGAGAAATATACACTTGAGTGGTTTAAAGTTAGAAATTAGTCTCTAGTAAAATAGCCGTTAATTGCATTGTTAAGAAGCATTTATATACCCCTTATATAAACGATTAAAAAATAATTCTGAAAGAATAAAAATTATTCTAACAGTTTGCAACAAGAATGGGATTTCCGTTTATTTGTTTCAATGTTTCACAACCTTCTTTTTTTCATCAATCGTATGAGTTAATAATAAATCTTTAGTTTCTCTGCGAAAATAAATACCTCTACAACTAAAGAAGAAGCGACTGTATATATCAATCAAAGAATAATTATGATCTAATTATACAACGTTTTTCTTATTATTTATATACATAGCATTTATTTGGCAATTATTGAACAATTGTGTGTTTGTTTATCTTGTATTTATATGTTATTTGTATGTATCTATCTGAGCAAGAGATTCACAACACTGAGTTCTCTTTTTCGTTACAACGGAATGAAGATAGAGCAGCTTTCTACGAGACGATCGAGAAATATACACTTGAGTGGTTTAAAGTTAGAAATTAGTCTCTAGTAAAATAGCCGTTAATTGCATTGTTAAGAAGCATTTATATACCCCTTATATAAACGATTAAAAAATAATTCTGAAAGAATAAAAATTATTCTAACAGTTTGCAACAAGAATGGGATTTCCGTTTATTTGTTTCAATGTTTCACAACCTTCTTTTTTTCATCAATCGTATGAGTTAATAATAAATCTTTAGTTTCTCTGCGAAAATAAATACCTCTACAACTAAAGAAGAAGCGACTGTATATATCAATCAAAGAATAATTATGATCTAATTATACAACGTTTTTCTTATTATTTATATACATAGCATTTATTTGGCAATTATTGAACAATTGTGTGTTTGTTTATCTTGTATTTATATGTTATTTGTATGTATCTATCTGAGCAAGAGATTCACAACACTGAGTTCTCGAATAATTATTTTTCGATCAAAATTGCCAAATTGTTATATAATATATCAGAAAGCTAAAAATTATTTATTAATGGCAATAACTCTGATAATAATGTATCGATTCTCTTTACTAAAGTACTTATTTATTATTATAGCTCTTCATAGCAAGACACAAGGAGTAACGAAGAGGACTCGGCTGCTGATTAGACAACCGCGAGTGAAGAAGGAGCCGAGTCACCTGTCGCCGGATGGCGAGGCGAGCTCCTCTCCTCACATTGTCTCGACCTCCGTTCATCTCGCCGCGTCGACACTGAATCTACCTCATGCGTCGAGGAGCTTCGAGGAGTCGCGGATATCGCCACCGCCACACACCATGCTGGTCAATCAACCAAATCTGCTGACGGTGACGACGACGTCGTCAAACTTGTTGACGGTACCCCAGCCGTCTTACCTGACCAAACAACACTCGCATCCATTGCTGTCCAGTCAGCAACCGAGCACGTCTGGGACTTACTGGATACACCGGCAGCATTCGCATCCGGAACTGCCTGGTAGGACCACGAGTCCGTCGATAGTGATTGAGCCGGCGCCCATCCTCAAGACGGAGGAAGAGGGATGCGAGGAAACCTCGACTCCGACTACTCCCTCTGAGCTGGGAATTAGCGGCGGCATTTCCACCGGATTAAGAGTGAGGACGACGGAGTTGCGGCGGACTTCCTCATCGCCGCAGGTAGATATACGAGATTAATTCTGACGGAATAAAAATTTCCACGGAGAAACTATTAAACTGATTCTAGCTGGATATATGTAGCTTAATTTTTAGTTTAGTCGTTATGATAGACCAAGTTTGTGGTATGTTTTAGGAATTGGATATAAAAATGTAATATCATTCATGTATTTATTCGTGCAATATATGTGTCAGAAAATATTTTTAGTTTAGTCGTTATGATAGACCAAGTTTGTGGTATGTTTTAGGAATTGGATATAAAAATGTGATATCATCATTCATGTATTTATTCGTGCAATATATGTGTCAGAAAATACTAAATTATTAATATATCTGCAAGATTTATTTTTGTCTTATTTTTACATTAGGAGACTGCAATAGAGATTAATTAGATTCTCTCTTATTTCTTTTTACCTGCGCACAATTTATTATCTATTTTTAAATTGTGAAGTATGTATGTACGTCATATATAAGTTAAGTAAACGTAATTTAATATATTTGCCTTTAGACGAGCAGTAGCAGCAGAGAGTCTCGTGAGAATACGGGGGATCAACGATTAGGTCACTGTCCGGTATTACGTCAGGGTCCTGCCTTAGGTTGCAATCATTGCTGGAACACGATAGACGATCACGGCAGAATACTCCGTAGGAAGACCAAGTATCACTGTCCCGAATGTCAGATTAATTTGTGCATCGTACCCTGCTTCCAAGAGTATCACGAGCAGCGGCGCGAATTGATTTCCAAACTGAAACCCTTACCAAAAACTAGCTCCGTTTAACTCTTTCCTATTTATTATGTACTATTAAAGTACGTAGAGTACAATGTACCTTGTTTTATAAATAATCGTTACTTATCGGATTATGTGTTGAGCACGCGCTTTAAATGTGTGAAGGTTTTTGACGTGACGAAGTAACGAGTCCATCATTAACGTGTAACATGTGACATTACCAGTTCATCCTGTACCACGATTGATGTGAATCATGAAACTTGTATCAACTAGTACAAAGACTTCTCATGACTTCATATATTTTCGTAATACATTTACAGCGTCTATGTAATTGTTAAAGTAGTCAAATTATCGCAGATCGATCATATTGACGATGATGATATTGCATGTTTATAATTGTGGATATCGAATTTTTGTTTCTTTCTTATTATTATGCCTTTTAGCAACATTGTTATTCTTAGCGCAGTTTTATTTTTTATATATATATTTATATTTTTATGNTTTTTTAAATTTTCTTGTATCAGTTATATTTCCATTATTATATGTAGCGAATTGCACTAGTGCGCATTAGTGTATATTAAAGGCTATACATACATATATAAACTGACAAAATATATGATAAAAATATATATAAACAGAACGGATAAACAAAAACAAATATAGCAAATGCAAAATAAAATTTATTTAAAATCTATTTGATATACTGTTTTATGTGTGTATGAATAAATTAATTAAACCCGTAGTAAACATTACGTTCACATTATGTCCATGGTTTCATCATTCGTCGTAACGTAAAAATTACAATATTAGCAACCTTGCTAATGCGCACTGATGCAATTGACAAGTTTTCTTTCATATAAAGCATTTTCTAATATAACTGAACATAATTTCATCCACTGCACAAATATAACAAAAAGAATTTAATGATAATATCTTGTTTGAGTTTATTTATGAAAATTTCCATTCATTTCTATATTGGATCAATTATTTGTTCAGCTTTACTCACAAAGAGATCTTTCCGAGTTTGAATAAAAGCTCATAAATATGTTATCATATGTTAACTTTTTTCGAAAGATTAACATCAAAATGTTTGACATTAAATTTCGAAAGACAGAAAGGACGGTAATTCGGAAAAATGAAAAGAGAAAAGAGAGAGAGATAGTTTATATAAATTATAATTTCTCTATGCTGAATTTTTATTTTTCTGTAATTATTCTCCCATATATTTAGAAACACACATTGTACATAACGCGAATGTTTAATTTGACACATAATTTATATTTGAATTAATGTATTTAATGTTAGTTTTATATTTATTTATTTTATTTTTTTTTTATCTCCCCATCGTCCATCACGTTCTATTGCATGATCTCAAAATAGGATCTTTTCATATATTATATGTCTCTCTCTCTCTCTCTCTCTCTTTCTTTCTCTCGTTCTCTCGTATACAAATGCATCGGATAATAATTTTTCTCGACATGCAAACTCTAATTTTGGAGATCGTGAATTGCGAGACGAAATTGCACAAAAATAGAGAAAGGTCCGGCTGGAACGCGCGTTGGCCGCTAAAACGAGAGCTTCAACACACTTGCAACGATCGAATTCGGGATGTACTCTTATAAATCACTTCCTACCATTCGCAGTTTCCCCCTATTGCCACCTGTAACGGCGCACTGCCGTTAATACGTCCGCGTAAATTTGTCGCCGTTCGCTCCGCGATCAATCGAATGTTGGACGCGCGCGTCTGTTACCTTGGTACGCGAATTTTAGGGTAATAAAAAAAAAGAATAATACAGAGCGAGGGTCTGGCTACATATATGTTATTCCAATTCTCCTCTATTTTACGTATTAAAAGTTTCCTGAAAATTGTGATATAGCTGTTATATTGGAAAATAGTGGCATACATGATGCCATTACTTGGATTTATAAATAAATGAGATAAAAAAAGATTTTTCAGATAAAATATATATATATTCGTAAATATGTACAAGTAAAGATTTTATTGCAATAATCTTTTTTTTGTAAATTTAACGGTTTTGATGAGTAAATACAACTATTCTTCAAATTTGGCAGAAGAAACTTGAACAAAAAAATAAAAAAAATAAAAATAAAAAAAAGTCTTAATATATAATTAATATAATTAATATATATTTTATTATGCATCACATTTTTGACTACAGATTTTTTTTCTATATTCTTTACGATTAACAAGCAAAGAAGAATATTCTATTATTTTTAAATCAGATTTTTCTTTGATATTAAAAATAAAACAGCTTTGATTGTAACAAGAATAATCGTGAAACTTCTATTAGTTCCAAGTGTATTAATATTTTTCTTTTATTCGAGTCAATTTTTCGCCTTAAATTCATGTACTATTTGTCCCCTACAATCCCAAGACTTTGAGCATTTTTTATGTGTGTCTCGTGCATTTATCGCGGAAAAGCGTCGGAAGTCGACACATGTCGCGAACAGTAGGACGATGGTCCGAAGAAATGACCGAAGATTTTCTCTATCGGGGAGAAAAGTCGTGGTGATGGATTAGGCTGGATTCTCGCTCCGGTTATTTTGATAAATCACGATTTGTGAGACGAACAGGCGAGGATTTTTGCCGCGATCTGCGTTTTCCCTGAACATTTCCTCGCGAACAGCACGTTCGCACTCTTTGTACATGTAAAGTGTTAAAAAAAAAAGATGTAGAATATGCGCAATATATTTTTCTCGGCATTACAGATGTATCATATACGTCAGCGTTGCGTGCATGCGAGTGTGTATGTGTGTATGTATCAACTAAACATATTTTATGTAAAAATCTAGCCTGTGAGATTCATATAAATTAAAATAAAATAATGTGAGATATCATCTCAATCTGTGTGATATGCTTGCGATATACTTTACACCTCTGACATATTCTTTCTCTCTTGGTGTTCAACAGACGTTTAATTCTGTGGAAGACATTCAACAACTTTATTTTATTCTAGTTGATTGAAAAAGAGCGGCTATCTGTAAACGAAGCGTTATAAATCACATTTAGTAAAATTGTTATTTTCAATATTCAATTCGAGTATACATTTCAAGTAAAAATTCTCGCGACACGTCGAAATATTATATTTTCCCTGCACGTTCAAGATACGCTATCTTGGAGGCGAAGCGAAAGAGATCACGGATTGTTGCGATGACGAAAAGAATCCGCTGTAGACTCTTCTTTTCTCCGCGTTTTCGCCAAGAATCTTCGAACACATTACTCGTTACTCGTAATAAATCCTCGCGAGGGTCGACTTTTTCTTCAAGTCGACCGCCGTCCGATATGGGGTCAGCCCGCGTTTCTTCCTCGCGCAAGCTGACGCCACCGCCATCGTCGTCCACCCCTCGGTCGTATAACGTGCAACGGAGGAGCCGTCATCTTGGATCACCCCACGAAAGCCACGGCGATATTGTACGCGCAGCCGGTGCCCCGTCGACAGCTGGACCCCTCGCGTCCTGGGATCGCTCTCTCTCCTCGGCGGAAACGAAAAGTCATCCGGAGCGCGTACCGCCGCCGGATTAATTGCCAACAACCCCCGATACGTTCGTGGGAGGTCAATCTCGTTAGGGCAAAAGCGCATTACGCGGGCGCGATACGTGGATAAGTCAACGGGAATACGCTTATTGTGATGTGCTGATGTTTCTTCGACACGTCGGCAAAACGTGTCGATAGTGGATGTTGAATTTTTATCATCATTATTATATTGATTATTTATTAGGCGTTTTATAGAACAAGTGTTCTCGAGCGGATAATAAAGTTAGAAGGAATAATAATTTTTAAGGAGTTTGAGAATTATGCATATAGCTTTTGATTAATATCTGTTAGTATTGCGGCTATAATTCATATTAGGATTCTATCTATTGTAAAGTTTTTAATTAATATTATTAGTAGTTTTGTTTGTGTATTGCAATTTTATATAAAGAAGGAACGAAAAAAATTAAAAAGTTAAGTCTTCAAGATAAATAAGATCTCATTTAAATTGAAGAGAAATGATATTTTAGTTAACAAGTGTTTATTCAAAGGAGTTACACGAAACTTTAAGACTTTACCCGCATTCGACAATAATCTGCATTATTTTCTGATTATCAGTTGATGCTTGGATTTGTATGAGTAATTTATATATGAATTGAAAAGTTTCTCGCCTACGATAGTTAAGAGGATTGCACGGAAATTACTTAATGTCTTTTTAAGTCATATTTAATTCTCCCTGTTCCCTGTGCATAATCGCATTATACTAGCATAGGGTCCGCACTTTGCTCACCCTTCTTCTCGTCCCTGTACATCGTTTTGTTCATCCGTGTATAGACGCAGGCCCGAGACTCGTAGTGATATCGCATTGTGATGCAATGCACCGTAGAATGAGGAGCAATTTCAAAAGCGTCGGATAAAAACAAACATCGCGATATTTAATTTGTCATGCAAAAATAATCTCTGTACCAAGATAAAAATAAAATATTACTTTTAATAGAAAATGAGATGCTATTCGACAATAAAAGATGAATAAAAGGAGTACCTGGCGAAGTTATTAATAATTTGCTGAAGACGTAAACGTTTATTTGAAAGTGTAAATTACAAGATAAGAAAAGTAGAAAGAGAGAAGCGTGTAACAATTATATTAATAATAGCAATTAGCAGGTGGATTTGTAAACTAAAGAATGTTTTACGATGGCGTCATAAAGAAATATTACGCGCTACAAAGGACTCCTTATTTGCAAGAGAATATAAAAGAGAATACAAAATGTCTACTCTTATTTGCAAAAGCTTTTTGCTTAACAGACATGGAAAGGACTTTATAAACGTATGTGGCAAGACATATTATAAATGTATCATATAAATATATCTAGATAATGTTATCATATGTAATTATACTGCAAATAATTTTGATGTTACAAGAAAATGTTTGGCTCTTTCAAAACATTTTAAAGCATTAAAATGATCGCACGCTTTTATAAATAGCATAACGAAAATAATCCATTTATTAAATTTAAAGAATAATTTCAAATAAATTATTCGAATAAATTTAGAAGGATATTTTTTTATTCACAAATTAGTTACCTATGAGCCACAAGTAAATATGAAAAATGTATTAATAAAATGATAATAAAATGATGATATTATTGTCATTATTAATACTCGTTTATTATTTCTATTTAATGTTAAGTCTTAAAAAATTAATATTAAAAGAAAAAAAAACAAATATACCAAAAATAATAACGATTATAGTTGCTTGAAACGCGTTGTCACACAGTGCAAGAAGGAAAGAGAGCATCTAATAATTCCACCAATGAAAAAGATATATCACAACTAAAACTTTCGTATGGATAAAGGAAGAAACAAATCTTGGGATGTGAAGGAGTATAGCTAAAGTGGAAGCGAAGGGCGAGAATGAGACCATGAATAAATGTTATCCGTGATAAAGGACACTTAATTTACGCGAAACATTAACATTGAATGAACTTTATCTGTATTCGG